TCAAGCGGCTCTTCGCGACGACTCCAGTCTTGGCGCTGTACGACCCTAATCGGGAGACGCGCATTGAGGTTGACGCCTCGGGGTACGCCACTGGCGGCGTGTTGATGCAGAAGCAGGATGACGGCAAATGGCATCCCATCGCCTTCAGATCCCATGCGATGGACCCGGCGCAGCGGAACTACGAGATCTACGATAAGGAGATGCTCGCGATCATTGAGGCGCTAGACGATTGGCGCCACTACCTCGAGGGGTTACCCAATCAGTTCGAGATCGTGACCGATCATAAGAACCTCGAGTACTGGCGTACATCCCAGCATCTCACGCGCCGTCAAGCGCGATGGTCGCTGTTCCTAGCTCGCTTCGACTTCCGCATCACGCACAAGGCCGGAACGTCCAATGGAAAGGCTGACGCCCTGTCGCGACGATCAGACCATCAGATCGGCGATGAGGACGATAACACCGATCAGGTGGTTCTCAAGCCAGAGCGCTTCCGCATCGCCTCCGCCCGGTGCGGCCATGCCTCGGTGACGGCCGATCAGTCGCTTCTGAAGCGCATCCGGGAATGCTCGGAGAAAGATCGGGAGGTGGCTGAGGCGCTTGAAAAGGTGCAGGACCTCGGACCGCCCCGGCTGCAAAGGGGTTTTGAGGAGTGGAATGCCGAACAAGGGCTCCTGCTGTTCCGCGGATGTGTGTACGTCCCAAAGGACGTGGAGCTCCGGCGGGATATAGTCAAAATCCACCACGACTCGCCGATCGCCGGTCATGGCGGTCGTGCCAAAACCCTGGAGCTCGTGTCGCGGAATTACTGGTGGCCTGGGATGTCCAAATTCGTCAATGAGTACGTAAGCACCTGCGACGTGTGCAACCGTACCAAGACATTCCCAGCCAAGCCCCAGGGTCCACTGAAGCCGAACGAGATCCCCGAGCGCCCGTGGCAGATCATCACGACTGACATGATCGTTGGCTTGCCAAAGTCTGATGGATTCGACTCGATCCTGGTTACCGCCGACCGCTTTACCAAGCAGGTCCACTTCTCAGCCTGTCATGAGACCCTGACGGCAGAAGGTGCGGCAGACCTGTACATCCGCGATGTGTTCAAGCATCATGGGGCCCCGGCCAAGGTCATATCAGACCGAGGTCCCCAGTTTGCTTCGAAGTATCTCCATGCGGTGTACAAGGGACTTGGGATCGAGCCAGCGCTGTCCACAGCGTTCCACCCCCAGACAGATGGCCAGACTGAGCGCTGGAATCAGGAGATCGAGCAGTACCTGCGTGCTTTCACTAGCCACAGGCAGGATGACTGGGCGAAGCAGTTGCCGCTCGCGGAATTCGCACTGAACAACTGAGTTCACTCCGCAACCGGGCATTCCCCTTTCTTCCTGCATCAAGGGTACAATCCTGAGATCCAGGTTCGGATCAATCCGATGTCTGCGATGCCTGCGGCCGCTGATCGGCTCAAGATCCTGAAGGAGATTCGCGACGATACGCGCTCTGCACTCGAGCTGTCGGCCGAGCATATGAAAGTGTACTACGATAAGCACGTGCAACAGGCACCGGTCTTCGCGCCGGGGGATAAGGTCTGGCTTGACGCTCGGAACCTTAAGCTGAAACAGCCGAGCAAGAAGCTCAGTCCCAAGCGCCTCGGACCATATGCCGTGCGGCGAAAGCTCGGAGACCTGGATTATGAATTAGTCCTGCCGAAATCAGTGCCGGTACACCCGGTGTTCCATGTCTCCTTGCTTAGCAAGTATACGCGTAGCGATATCCCGGGCCGGGAGCCGGAGGAGCCGCCTGCGATCGAGGTTGAGGGCGATGAGGAGTACGAGGTTGAGCGGATCAAGGATTCACGGATCTTCCGGCGTCAGCTGCAGTACCTCGTCAAGTGGAAGGGTTATGACGACTCGCATACGTCATGGGAACCGGCGCGCAACGTTGCCAATGCGCCGGCCCTCATAGCCGACTTCCACTGGAAGAACCCGAATGCCCCCCGCCGCCTCAATGCTGCTGTCTTTGGTGGTCTCAACTTTCAGCCACTGCCGTCGCCGCTAACTGAAGCACGCTGCCGCTCCGGGTGGGAGATGGGCAAGGGCACCTCGCATGAGGTCATGCGCCGTTGAGGGGGGGGTAATGTCACGAGTTGGTACGGTGTCTAGCCGTTTTTTAATTTTTTTCCTTTTCGCGGGCTCGAACCCGCGACCTCTGTACCACCTGCCTGATATGGACGCGTCGTTATCTACTGTACGATTAGATTAGATGGGCGGCAGTGCGCGGCACAGCTCGGGCTCCGCTGACACAGCCGCTCTAACTCACCGGCCCCCGGGGCCGCGTCGGCATGCTGCGCACGGACCAACGTGCACAGCCTGCCCTAATCTCCCCATGTATATAAGCTGGCCTCTGCTGCCCTAGGGACCTCAGTTTCGACCTCTTGTCCCTAGGTCAGTAAGCCCCCAGTTGTATTCTCTTTGCTTACTTAACTAATATACTATCTTGTCCCTAGCCTTAGGTTTGAGCCTCGCTCACCATCGCTTCGGTGAGAACCAGTCGGACGCCCCTCGCTTCTAGATATTTCCCTGTCGCTTGACCTCAAGTCGCGACATTAGGTCGAAACTCTCCCAAGCGACCGGCGTTCTCTCAGAACCCACACACTCACACTTTCCTTTCCCATAGGTCGGGTGGTGCGCACCCTTACGATACCATACG